GTAAATTTATCTCATCAGATACCAGGAGACGACATTAGCAAAAAGGGAAAAACAATTTGCATTCCTAAAAATCACAGAACCTCTCCATTTGGTTCACTATATAAGACCGGGACCAGTTTCGAAGGCTACAGTAGTACATCGGGAGACTCACCAAGTAACACTTAGGTAAGAAAGAATATTATGCCTTCTATATTAAAACCATCCATAATAATTATATTTAATTATAATTATTTCAAATTATGACGCTGTTAAAAAGTTAATAGAAATGGACTAGACATAATACTCGACAACTTCCAAGTGACAATCGCAAAATAAATAAATTCAGAAAGTATAAGTTAATATTTTTTATTATTATTGTATGAATATTTAAATCCCTTTAAAAATTCGTACTGTATGAATATTTTGGTATTGAAATTGAATGTCGGCTTTTTATTTTCTTAACTAAGAGTTATCTTTATAAAAAAATATAGAGAATATATATATATATTTTTTTTAAATTTTGTTAGTTATCCAAGAGTTCGTGAATGAGATTAAACCTTTTATATTTAAAAGAAATCATTAACGAAAGACTTTTAATTGGGTAATATTTCCTTTTGAAAACATCCTTACCAGCGGTTGAAGCTTCTATGGACCTTATCAAGGTTGCATTTAAACAGTTCCTGTGAAAGTTTTTTTAGAAAAAATGTTCTTAAAATAAAAGTCCTAAGGAATTTAAAATTTCTAAGAAAATTTTACAGAAAGATTTCAACTTCGAAGTGACAATAACAACGTACATAAGAATTGGCACAAAAAAAATTCAGAAAGTATAAGTTAATATTTTTTATTATTAATGTATGAATATTTAAATCCCTTTAAAAATTTGTACTGTATGAATATTTTGGTATTGAAATTGAATGTCGGCTTTTTTTTTCTTAATTAAAAGTTACCCCTATAAAAAAAAAAATGTTATCTAACGAAGAGTTCATGAATGAGATTAAGCACATTATATTAAAAGAAATCATAAACGAAAAATTTTTGACAGGCGGACATCTTGGTCGTTCATACACGTTAATTTTATTTTTAATTGATTATTTATTCGTTTTGAAAACATCCGTATTAAGCAGTTGAAACTTTTATGGACCTTTTTTAAATAGTTTCATTTTAAAAGTTCCTAAGAAAGTTTTAAGGAAAGTTCTTAAAATAAAAGTTCTAAGGACTTTTAATATCTTTTGCTCAGTTATAATTGAGTAATAAAAGATTTGATATACTTCTAGTTTTGTGGAATTTTAATTGAACCGCCAAAATTTTACTTACATACGCATTACAATTTTTTTTTCTATTAAAAAAATATAAATATTTAAATATTTCTTATATAAAAACCTTATACACTTCCTTTTTACATTATCAGTTACGTTTTTTTTTTTTTAATTTTATATAAAATCACGTATATATTAAAAGCCCAATACGTAAATTAAACATTCTTTAAAAATTTTAGATACAGCAACATCACACTTAGTGACAAACATGAAAATAGCATTAGTCCTATGGACCATAGCATTGCTATGCTCCACCATTTATGCCGAAGAGTGGACGTATGCAAAGAGGGATGTTGAAGCAGTAGAACAGGTATCCAGTTCTTATTATTAATAATTTAATTATCATTTTTAAAATGGAATTAATTAATATAATTTAAGCTGAAATAGCACGACTAATGTTTTAATCAATCATTGCAGTATGACTAATATATTCATTAATGCTTGCAGTATGTCGACAAGCCAGACTACAGACCGAGACCCAGGCCTCCAAATATGCTGGTAAAGAGAGACGTTGAAGCAGTAGAGCAGGTAATGATCAGTTTCAGATAAGAATAATTTAAGTCACATTTACGTTTAACTAGTATGACTAATGTATTCATTAATGCTTGCAGTATGTCGACAAGCCAGATTACAGACCTAGACCAAGGCCTCCAAAGATGCTGGTAAAGAGAGACATTGAAGCAGTAGAGCAGGTAATGATCAGTTGCTGATAAGAATAATTTAAATCACCTTTACGTTTAACTAGTATGACTAATGTATTCATTAATGCTTGCAGTATGTCGACAAGCCAGATTACAGACCAAGACCCAGGCCTCCAAAAATGCTGGTAAAGAGAGACGTTGAAGCAGTAGAGCAGGTAATGATCAGTTCCAGATAAGAATAATTTAAGTCACATTTACGTTTAACTAGTATGGCTAATATATTCATTAATGCTTGCAGTATGTCGACAAGCCAGATTACAGACCTAGACCCAGGCCTCCAAAGATGCTGGTAAAGAGAGACGTTGAAGCAGTAGAGCAGGTAATGATCAGTTCCAGATTAGAATAATTTAAGTCACATTTACGTTTAACTAGTATGACTAATGTATTCATTAATGCTTGCAGTATGTCGACAAGCCAGATTACAGACCAAGACCCAGGCCTCCAAAGATGCTGGTAAAGAGAGACATTGAAGCAGTAGAGCAGGTAATGATCAGTTGCTGATAAGAATAATTTAAGTCACATTTACGTTTAACTAGTATGACTAATGTATTCATTAATGCTTGCAGTATGTCGACAAGCCAGATTACAGACCAAGACCCAGGCCTCCAAAGATGCTGGTAAAGAGAGACATTGAAGCAGTAGAGCAGGTAATGATCAGTTGCTGATAAGAATAATTTAAGTCACATTTACGTTTAACTAGTATGACTAATGTATTCATTAATGCTTGCAGTATGTCGACAAGCCAGATTACAGACCAAGACCCAGACCTCCAAAGATAATGGTAAAGAGAGACATTGAAGCAGTAGAGCAAGTAATGATCACTTCCAGATAAGAATAATTTAAGTCACATTTACGTTTAACTAGTATGACTAATGTATTCATTAATGCTTGCAGTATGTCGACAAGCCAGATTACAGACCAAGACCCAGGCCTCCAAAGATGCTGGTAAAGAGAGACATTGAAGCAGTAGAGCAGGTAATGATCAGTTGCTGATAAGAATAATTTAAGTCACATTTACGTTTAACTAGTATGACTAATGTATTCATTAATGCTTGCAGTATGTCGACAAGCCAGATTACAGACCAAGACCCAGACCTCCAAAGATAATGGTAAAGAGAGACATTGAAGCAGTAGAGCAAGTAATGATCACTTCCAGATAAGAATAATTTAAGTCACATTTACGTTTAACTAGTATGACTAATGTATTCATTAATGCTTGCAGTATGTCGACAAGCCAGATTACAGACCAAGACCCAGGCCTCCAAAGATGCTGGTAAAGAGAGACATTGAAGCAGTAGAGCAGGTAATGATCAGTTGCTGATAAGAATAATTTAAGTCACATTTACGTTTAACTAGTATGACTAATGTATTCATTAATGCTTGCAGTATGTCGACAAGCCAGATTACAGACCAAGACCCAGACCTCCAAAGATAATGGTAAAGAGAGACATTGAAGCAGTAGAGCAAGTAATGATCACTTCCAGATAAGAATAATTTAAGTCACATTTACGTTTAACTAGTATGACTAATGTATTCATTAATGCTTGCAGTATGTCGACAAGCCAGATTACAGACCAAGACCCAGGCCTCCAAAGATGCTGGTAAAGAGAGACATTGAAGCAGTAGAGCAGGTAATGATCAGTTGCTGATAAGAATAATTTAAGTCACATTTACGTTTAACTAGTATGACTAATGTATTCATTAATGCTTGCAGTATGTCGACAAGCCAGATTACAGACCAAGACCCAGACCTCCAAAGATAATGGTAAAGAGAGACATTGAAGCAGTAGAGCAAGTAATGATCACTTCCAGATAAGAATAATTTAAGTCACATTTACGTTTAACTAGTATGACTAATGTATTCATTAATGCTTGCAGTATGTCGACAAGCCAGATTACAGACCAAGACCCAGGCCTCCAAAGATGCTGGTAAAGAGAGACATTGAAGCAGTAGAGCAGGTAATGATCAGTTGCTGATAAGAATAATTTAAATCACATTTAGGTTTAACTAGTATGGCTAATATATTCATTAATGCTTGCAGTATGTCGACAAGCCAGATTACAGACCTAGACCAAGGCCTCCAAAGATGCTGGTAAAGAGAGATGTTGAAGCAGTAGAGCAGGTAATGATCAGTTCCAGATTAGAATAATTTAAGTCACATTTACGTTTAACTAGTATGACTAATGTATTCATTAATGCTTGCAGTATGTCGACAAGCCAGATTACAGACCAAGACCCAGGCCTCCAAAAATGCTGGTAAAGAGAGACGTTGAAGCAGTAGAGCAGGTAATGATCAGTTCCAGATAAGAATAATTTAAGTCACATTTACGTTTAACTAGTATGGCTAATATATTCATTAATGCTTGCAGTATGTCGACAAGCCAGATTACAGACCTAGACCCAGGCCTCCAAAGATGCTGGTAAAGAGAGACGTTGAAGCAGTAGAGCAGGTAATGATCAGTTCCAGATTAGAATAATTTAAGTCACATTTACGTTTAACTAGTATGCCTAATATATTCATTAATGCTTGCAGTATGTCGACAAGCCAGATTACAGACCAAGACCCAGGCCTCCAAAAATGCTGGTAAAGAGAGACGTTGAAGCAGTAGAGCAGGTAATGATCAGTTCCAGATAAGAATAATTTAAGTCACATTTACGTTTAACTAGTATGACTAATGTATTCATTAATGCTTGCAGTATGTCGACAAGCCAGATTACAGACCTAGACCCAGGCCTCCAAAAATGCTGGTAAAGAGAGACGTTGAAGCAGTAGAGCAGGTAATGATCAGTTCCAGATTAGAATAATTTAAGTCTCATTTACGTTTAACTAGTATGACTAATGTATTCATTAATGCTTGCAGTATGTCGACAAGCCAGATTACAGACCAAGACCCAGGCCTCCAAAAATGCTGGTAAAGAGAGACGTTGAAGCAGTAGAGCAGGTAATGATCAGTTCCAGATTAGAATAATTTAAGTCACATTTACTTTTAACTAGTATGGCTAATATATTCATTAATGCTTGCAGTATGTCGACAAGCCAGATTACAAACCGAGACCAATGCCTAGACCTCCACGCATTAATGGCTAAGACTAAGAAGCGGATTAGAATGGTGCTTAATACGCGTGGGTCATCGAGCTCAATTATAATAATTTAATTATGAGCCGAATATTGTTAATTTACTGATATTAACTTGTTATTAATACATTGCATCGAGGACCGACTACTGAAACCTGAAAGTCTTTAAGAGTTTTTATTTAATATTATATAATTGTATATTAGAAAAGTTATGCATTTAAATTATAGTGAAAATATTTTTTGTTGAATTAAACTTTTGAAATATGTATGTACTTATGTAGTATTTAATAAATACTAAGGATTGGAATAAATAAAATTAAGAATTTGTAAATATTTCATTGTTAGCCTTTTTTACCTTTTAATATATTTTATTTCGTATCATTCAATAATTGTTAATAATAATTTTCTGACCATCTATGGGTCTTGCTATCATCCTGAAGTAGTTAATCAAAACAGATCGAAGCAGTGTTGGGCAAAAATTTCAATAAAGGTTATTTCAATCAAAAAAGATCAAAACTAAATTTCTCATGAAATCAGACGAAATATTCAGCTTATTGATGAAAAAGAAATGTTACACAGTGAATGTGTTAGATGAAGCAAATCAATTTATTACCCCTAGTTAGTTTTATTTTTTATTGTATTCCATCTCAACACACCATTCACTGTTTCTTTTTGCCACATTATATTTCTAAGACTGTAATTTGAAATTTGACGACGGTACGACTTTTAAGAGACGTACATGTATTTTTACTTTTGTAATTGTTCATTATTGTTATTCATTCTTTTCTAATTTATTCTACACCTATATATATATATATATATATATATATATATATATATATATATGTGTATATATATATATATATATATATATATATATATATATATATATATATATTATATATATATATATATATATATATATATATTCACAAAGGGAAAAATCCATCAAAGTTCATTATTATTTGAGGTTATCAAATCTTTCTTAATTACTTCTTGTAATAAACGAACGATATGTTTATTTTTTATTGTATATTTTTTTGACAAAGCAAAAATTAAGAAATTTTCTTAATGAAAATTTAAAAAAGAAATTGCCTTCTAGATGCGCATGAGATCCACAACGTTAAAATTTTATAATTATAATTAATATACTGGAGAATACAAGAATGTAACAATTTTACATATTTACTACCTTTGCGCTAAAGGAGACATTTTATAGTCTTCTACTGCAACAAGTAGTCTGATAAATAGGTAAACAAAATATGAAATTAAACTAATAAGTGATAAAGAAATAATCAGTTTTCATATCCTTAAGTAAAAAAAAAAAAAACTCAATTTTTACAAACGGCCTATTGCACTAACAATAGCGATATGTTTTTGAGTTAATTATAAAAGAATGAGTAAATTTTTATTGACGGTTTAGTTATTTTAGTAACTGAACTATCAGCTCCTACTCGAGATAATGGGTAAATCGGAATCCTAACTACCGGAAAACACACTTAAGTCCCATGGGATTAGGATGGGATCTTTGAGCCTCAAGGGACTGGTGGATGACCTTACTTGTTTCATTGCTTTGGGTCTTCCTGGTCTCCCACCTTTGCTTTCTGAAACTTCTATTACAAATTTCTCTTTTAAAACTAATTATCTAACATGAATAGAATAAGGCGAAATAAATTCCAACTCTAATTTACCAATAACTTTAGTTTTTACTTCTGCCTACCTATATGTGAAAATATATATCAAGGGAAAGTATTGCGATCGTAAAAAGTCGGGTTTTTCAACCCGGGAAATATCTTCAATTTTCAATAATGTCACTTTCCATTCGTCTCTTGGATTCTCATACTTATTGTAAATACAACATAATTAAGTGGTATATTTGATAGGCGAAACATAAGTCTGGTATATATTTACTTTCATACACGATAATCTTGACGCTAAAGTAAAATTGTCTGAGAAGAGAAATAAAGCAACTAGATTTTCCAGTAATAAAAGACACTTTCCGAAATCTAAAATTAAATCTGGAATTCCCTCAGCTCTGTATCGTTAAATGATAGCATCTTGAACTAGGATAGATCAATCTCACTAGTATAAAGGAGAAAGTCTATTAGATTTCTACTACTAGCAACAATGATAAACTTTTGATTATACGAAAAATTTGAACCGTTATTAAGCGAAAATATACTCATTTCCAAATGAAATGGTTGATTGAAAAATATTTTTACTGTTTCATGGCTTCTTAAAGAACTTAATTTTTATAATTGGTAATTGGTTGACTGTCGTGGATAATGAAGAACTTAATTTTAATTTGAAATGGCATTTTTATTGTGTTTTTTTAGATTGGAAAAAAAAAGAAGACAAATCATACGTTTTGAAAAATATTATATATAATATGTTTAGATTTCTAGTATTTAATACTTATTGGATTAAGTAGAACATTAATTTCTGCTATCAGATAACGTTGCTAACTTCATTATAGCAGTTAAATGTACGATCCTTTATTTGCTGCTTAAAATAAAAATAAAAATAAAATAACGTTCCTTGTTGTGAAGAAGTTCTTCTAAATTTCTATTAAGGTCGATTTAGAGTCTATGCCCAGTCGGGAGTGCCAAACTACAGAACTGGATTGCAAATAAGAAAATATATTTAAAAAAAACACATATGTTCTTATCCGATTTTCATTTGCGTAAATTTCATTTATATAAATTAAAAATAAACAATATTTCACACATGTATTAACCTTTCACTTTTTGAAGTCTTATTTTAATAAATGTCCGAAATTCCACAAATCCGGAAATAGTTTCAATTGTTTTTTTTTTTAAATATTTCATTTTAACTATTTCGTTTTTTTATATATTTAATTTTTTTTTCTATACTAGTTGGTCATTGAAAATACAATAATTCTCATAGAATGTCGGTCATTGAACAAAACACCTATTTAATTTGCCAAGGGAAAATAAATATAATATAACATCATTCATTCAAAGAAGAATGTTCTCTAATTATAACAACTTGAATCTTTAATAATGATAGTTCAAATTCCATGACTTTTTTTTTTGTTTTACATGGAATTCAGCACTCTTTCAAATAATTATAGACGCAATTAGTAAAACTTTTTGAGATATTCACAAATAAAGTTTCTTTTCTCTCATAAATATTTTTCCTGAAATTTCAAGGCAATGTGGCAATTTTCGTTACCTGAAGGAGAAAAATGTAGCTTTTTATGTTCATAGACGTCATTTCTCCAGTTAAGGAATTATGACCACCATTATGGACGAACAAAAAAAAAAAATATATATATATATATATACAAATACATACACACACACACACACACACACACACACACACACACACACACACATATATATATATATATATAGGTATTACCTTTGGTGTATGAAACCCACCACTCTTGAATCCCGCTACTGTCCTATATTTTCGCCGATTCCTCCCAACTTAGATTTATATACAAGAAGATAAGTCTATATAGTTCAACTCAACTATTTAAAATAGTTCAACTTTGAAACTTATATAACTTTGTCAATTTAATAAATTCAGAGGCTATTGAATGTCAACTTCATAGCACTTGATGTTAACGTTTTTTTCAGATTTCATTTGAAATAAATTACAAAAAACTACTTGAGTATATCAATATATTTCTTAATAATAAAAATTTTCTCATCTTAATGAATCAGATATAAAGGAATTCGATTTTTTTTTTTATTACAACATATTTTTAAATGAAGAGTCCTTGAACTGCTATTGGGAGAGATATATTTGTTCTAATCACAAGGAGCAAAGATTAAATTCGAAAAAGATTAGACCGATATCTTTTTATTATGAATTGTTCTTGTCCAATCAAACTACCACTGAATTTCATTCTATCAGACAGATGAATCTCAAGACCGCGCGTCAATTTTCCTTCAGACCATTGATTAACAAATGTAATAAGTAATTATGTTTTTAACTTCTTGATTAAAATAGTTATACATAAAAGACAAGAAGGTAACTTTTTAGAAGTTCTGTATGTGATTATATGTATGGGTTAGGGAGAAAATTAAATTAAACACCCATTTGCTATCCACTTGAATCTTAAGATAATTTTATCACAAAATTGAAAAAAAAGCTGGCCTAAAAAAAATTGAACCGGCCTATACAATCTCGTTATTTTCATGTATTGAAGGATACGCGAAACGGCTTAATATTTTTGTAGGCCACCTTTTTTTTGATTATATGACCAAATTATCTTACGATTCTGGAGGAAAGCAAAGGGGAACTCGCCATCTTTTATTACCTAATTAAATACACAGAGTTTGCCGATCTCCAGATTGAAATGACTCCATTTCTGAGAAATTTTAAAAATAAAAATGTTGTTTAGTTGTTGTTTAGTAAAGGCGTAAAACTTGTTGCTTATCAACACCGTCAATTAAAATTATATATCATTATTATTGTTGAATATTTAATATTCGACTGTTGCATTATAAAGGAAGGAGATGGTCCGGGGTGGCGGTCATAAATAGGCTAAATAGTAGCAAAACTATTTTATTACAAGACAACGTTTCGATCCGACTTTGCAGGTCTTCTTCAGGGAGGTTTGAAGTTCACTTAGAACTTCTAAGTGAAACTCCTAGTGAGTTCTAAGTGAAAATCCCAGCTGTACACACCTCTCTGAAGAAGACCTGCAAAGTCGGGTCGAAACGTTGCTTTTAATAAAATAGTTTTGCCTCTATGTATCCTATTTATTACCGCTACACCGGACCATCTCCTTCCTTTATAATGCAACAGTCGAATATTAAATATTCAACAATAATAATGATATATAATTTTAATTGACGGTGTTGATAAGCAACAAGTTTTACGCCTTTACTAAACAACAACTAAACAACATTTTTATTTTAAAAATTTCTCAGAAATGGGGCCATTTCAATCTGGAGATCGGCAAACTCTGTGTATTTAATTAGGTAATAAAAGATGGCGAGTTCCCCTTTGCTTTCCTCCAGAATCGTAAGATAATTTGGTCATATAATAAAAAAAAAGGTGGCCTACAAATATTTTTATATATTTAGCCGAAAAACTATTGAAATTTCGAACATGTTTTGATTTTTGGATCTAGAAAGTATATCTGGACCTAGAAAGTGGACTACACTTATCGACGCAGTGATATAAAAGTAATATCAATCCACTCATCATAATAATTAGATATATACTATACATTTTATTTTTATTTGTTTTACATTTAAATTCCTAGAAGCTCGGAGTATAATTTATTACTGATAATAACATAAATTAATATAAAAATATTATAAAGGAAGGAGATGGTCCGGGGTTGCGGTCATAAAA